GACTGGAGTGCAGTGGCCACTCCTGGCCACCGCAGCCTCGACCTGCTGGGCTCCAGCGATCCTTCCGCCTCAGCCTTCTAAGTAGCCGGAACTACAGGAGCACGCTACCACACCCGGCTAATTTTTTAATTAATTGTAGAGATGAGGTCTCCCCAAGTTGCCCAGGCAGGTCTCGAACCCATGGGCTCAGGCAATCCACTCACCTCAGCCTCCCAAAGCACGGGATTACAGGGTGAGCCACTGAGCCTGGCTAGAACATATTAACGCAGGACACATTCTACTAAAAAAAAAAAAACTACTTGAAATAAGAGAACGGACTTTATAAAGTCCATTAAAAAACAGTAGCAGATGCATTTATTGCTTATGTTGTTCTAGGTAACACGCTACGGTCTTTTTTTTTAACAAATGGTTTTATTGAAATTTGCATAAACTTCACCTGGTAAAGGGCACAATTCAGTGCTTTTTAGTATATTTAGAGTTGTGCAACTATCACCACTACCTAACTTCAGAACAGTTTCATCATCCCAGAAAGACGGCTTGTATCCATTGCAGCAGTTCCCATTCTTCCCTACTCCCAGTCCCTGGCAACCATGAATCTATTTTCTATCTGTATGGATTTGTTTAATCGGGACATCTCACTGTTTTCTTTTTTCAGATAATTTAATAGTTGGTAACCATTTCTCACTGGTAATTCTGCCTAATGATAGGGATAATTCCTTTAAAATTAATTTTAAAATTATTTCCTATTTTAAAACAATTTGTTCCTTACTTGTCCAAGGGGATGTAGGAGTTGAGAAGGGATCCTGCCATTGCTTTGGTGCTGGCATTATCACTAACTGTTCCCAAGCTGACGGTGCCAGATTCTCCACTTAGACTGTACCGTTCTTTCTGTACATCTGCTTGTACTTCCAACCTTAAACAGAAAAGTAGCAGATAAAAACCAAAATTATATATATCAGTTTTACTGCAATATGTATCTTCAAATAATTCAGTTAAGACCCTAGCAACTAAAACTTTCTTAGAAACCATTATATTTTTTTGTCTCCTTTTATTTGACCAATATCAAATTCCACTGCAACACACTGAACAGTATCAGTCACCCAAATAGAATTGGAAAAATTATCTGTCTGCCAAGTAAGGTAGTAACAGGATTACAGAAAAAGGACACAAAGGATTTTAACTTAAATATGCTTCATTATTCTCACTCAGGATGTGGCACTGTGTTTCAGTGCAAAACACAAAGTTAGAATATATTACCAACCATTAAACATGACATATCAGTGAATCAAAAAATCTTGGACATCTTTATTAAAAATGTTTCTATAAATAAAATCTGACTTTAAAATAAGAGATCAGATCAGTACTTTGGGAGGCTGAGGTGAGAGGATTGACTGAACCCAGGAGTTCAAGACCAGTCTGGGTAACACAGCAAGACCTCACCTTTATTAAAAAATCAAAAAATAAGCTGGGTGTCGAAGCACGTGCCTGTAGTCCCAACTTCTAGGGAAGTTGGGGTGGAAGGATTGTCTGAGTCCAGGAGTTTGAGCTGTGATTTTGCCATTGCACCACAGCCTGGAAGACAGAGTGAGACTTTGACTCAAAAAAAAAAGGAGAGAGAATATATATACCACTATAACTGAAGAGCGTCAATTTAAATGCAAACTACCTAAAAATAAGATAAATATGACTGATTTATCTTTTAATTCCTGTTTTCTCCCCTATGCTAAAAAAATTAAGGCTAATAAAAAGAAGTAAAGAATAGTGAATCAAAGAGAAAACAAGGGAAGATAATTATTCCTACTTATCTCTACGGCTATTGACAAATGACTTGGTGAAAACAAAGTAACCATTAATACATAAAAGGACCTAGGCAGACCATCTTGCCCCAGTTCATGCATTCCTGAATGTCCTGACTCCACCTGTTCCTCTGCCAAAGTTCCATCTCCCATCATCCAGCTGTAGTGACCCCCAGAGGTAAGGTCTAGGCTTAGGCACTGCCTTTACGTCAGTGCCCAATGCAGCAGCCCCAGCAGGAATTTATAATATACAATCTCACAAGTGCAGTGAAAAAATTGGCAGAATGTTATTCCTTAGACTTAAGTTTCTATCCCATCATGAGGGTCGTGACAGAAAATTCAAACACAGTGAAAGATCTCCTTATTCACTACACTAAATTTCTTTCTTTTTTTTTGAGCCTAAGTCCCACTCTGTCACCCAGACTGGAGTGCAGTGGCTGCTCCCGGCCATCGCAGCCTCGACCTGCTGGGCTCCGGTGATCCTTCCGCTTCAGTCTTCCAAGAAGCTGGAACCACAAGCACGTGCCACCATGCGTGGCTAATTTTTTGATTTGTTGAAGAGATGAGGTCACACCAAGTTGCCCAGGCTGGTCTTGAACCCTTGGACTCAAGTAATCCTCTTGCCTTGGCTTCCCAAGTGCTGAGATTACAGGCATGAGCCACTGCACCCAGCTTAAATTTCATTTTTAACATTATTTTTTTATTATTTATTTTTCTGAGTTGGAGTCTCACTCTGTCACCCAGACTGGAGTACAGTGGCCGCTCCCTGCCACCACAGCCTCGACCTGCTGGGCTCCAGTGATTCTTCCACCTCAGCCTTCCAAGTAGCTGGAACTACAGGTGCGCGCTACCACGCCTGGCTAATTTTTTGATTTTTTATTGTAGAGATAAGGTCTCATCTGCCCAGGCGGGTCTTGAACCCGCGGGTTCGGCAATCCACTCACCTCAGCCTCCCAAAGGCACGGGATTACAGGCTGAGCCACCGAGCCCGGCTTTTAACATTATTTTTTACCCTGACGTAGTAGGGTTACATATAATCATCATGCTTTGTCTTCAAAATCTTCCTCATCTAATAATTTGTAATTATCAGAACGCAGAAACAAAACAGACCAAAACACACTGCTTTTTCTTACCTGTTAAAACAATTAACCATGGCACTTCCTGACAGACTCCCCGTTATACTGGCCCCAGCCAGTGCCATGGTGCTAGCCGTTTCACTCAGGTTGTCTCGAATGGCTCCTATTCGATCCATGTGGCTTCCACTTGCACTCAAACTGCCAGTCAGGCCACCAACACTTCCTTCCCCTATGCTAGGATTGTGTCTTGCTTCTGCTACTGATGTTGTGTCTAAATGCAAGTATTTCAAAGAAATGAAATAAGTATGATGATCTAGTTTTCCCCTTAAATTCCTCCATGATTTCAGATAGGACATTTTACGATATAAAGTACAGAACATATTCATACATAGGAATGGAAAAGGGTATCTGGAGTGAAGGACATATAACCAGAAGGTAGGAATAAAGGGAAATATCTGAAAGTATAGTTGAATCAGGGACTGGTCCTCAATTTTTTTTTCAGTCTAGTCCAGTGAGGCAGTGAGAGTATAGTCCTCAATTTGTGTGTGTGTGTGTGTGTGTGTGTGTGTGTGTGTGTGTGTGTGTGTGTGTGTGTGTGTGTGTGTGTCTTAAGCAATAGACATTTATTTTTCTTACACTTCTGAAGGCTGGAAGTTGAGTACCAAAGTTTTTTTTTTTTTTTTTTTTAATAGATGTAGGGTACAATTCAGGGTTAGGTACATAAGTGGTCATCGTACAGGCAAAGTTTGGGTACCTTTACTGATGTTACATCCCTCCCTACCCCCTGGCAGTGTCCCACTACTGCCAATCCCTTTCTCATATTATTATGATAAATGTTCAGAGTCTTCTTATGAGTACATGTAGTACTTACATCTTTGTTTCTGTGATACATCACGAGTATTACAGACTCTAAATTCATTCAGTTGCTGCAAAGTCCAAAATTTTGTTTTTTTAATATACAGCCTTCCATTTTAATTGTTCACCTATTTTTTAAAAAATCCAGATTAGGAATTCTACGATGAATCTGATTCCTGAAAAATTACCTGACTTTGGAGGAAAATTATATGACAATTTTCAGTAAGGGTGTCATTTAAAGAGCTTATTATTCCCTAAATCAGTAAGAATGGGTCAAAAGTTGAATTATAGATATATCCAGTTTGAATTGTCTGTAAGCTACCACAAGATCTAGTAACACTATATTCCAATTTAATAGTGCGTTTCACACACTTTGAGTTCCTATTATATACTCAATCATATGGTGATAAATGCTATGAGGAAAAATAAAACAGAGTAAAGGGGAGTGACAGTGATGAGAAGTGATGTGTGTGCATGTCTGTGCACCATTTATATGACGTGAGGAGGGAAGGCCTCTTTGTTAGAGCAATTCTTGGAGAGATTCAAAGGAAGTGAAGCAATGAGCCATGAAATTATCTGGGGAAGAGTATTCCAGGCAGAGAGGAGAGCCAATTTAAAAGCCCAGAAGTAGGAGCATACTTGGCATCCTCAAAAATCAAGGAGGGATAACAGGAAACAGGAGGGTGACAAGTGATGTTCTCAGAGACATGGTTGGGACAGATCATGTAGGGCCTTCTGGGCCAAGATAAGGACTTTGAATCCTTTTCCCCTAATACAGTTTGAAGTCACTGGGGAAGTTCTGATCATAAGAAAGACATGACCTGACAGGTTTTAGACATGTGACTGTGGCAGCACTGTGGAATAATGAGTGGATGCTGAGAAGCTAATAGATCAGTTAAGAGGCTATTATAATAGTCCAGGAAAGAGGATAGTAGCCTGGACTATTGCAATAGCAGTGAAGAGGGTAAGAAGTAGTTGGATCATGGTTAAATACTGAAGGAAGCAGCAGAATTTGCTAACAGATCAGATAGAGGGTACGAGGGAAAAAGGAGGAGCAATGAAAGTGAGGGTTTTTAGTCCAAGCAAAAGGAAGACTGGAGGAGCTACTTACAGATTTAAGTATGACTGAGGGAAGAACAGGTTTTAGAACAAAGAACTGAGTTGTAGACAAGTAAAGCTTGAAATTCTTGTTAGAAATTCAAGTAAAGATTAAAGAAGAAAGTTAGATATACAAATCTGAAGTTCAGGGGAGAATTCTTGCCTAGATTTAAGTTTATAGAGTGGTCAGTCTATAGATTATTTAATAGATGAGATAACCTAGGGAGAAAGTGTAGATAATGAATACAAGTCTAAGAAATGAACTCTGGGAAACAAACATTTAGAGGTTAGGGGACTGAGAAGGAGTAGCCAGGAGATATGATAAGAAGAAACGAAGATGTGAAGAAGTGCTTCAAGAAGGGCACAGTCTACCACATCAGGTGTACTAAGATGGGGACAAAAATTGGTCACTGTATTTGGTAGCGTGGAAGCCACTGGTAATTCTGCTTTGGTGAATAGGAGAGATGAAATTCTGGAGCAGAAGAGACAAAAATCTGACTGAAGTGTAATCAAGAGAAAATGGGAAGTAAGAAGGTAGGCATTATCTTTATACATCTGCCTGTTTCTATAACAAGAATTTCTTGTTAACAAATTATGTTAGAAATTTCTATAACAAGAATTGCTGGAATATAGACACACACTTTTTTTTTTCAGATTTTTTTTTTTTTTTTTGAGTTGGAGTCTCACTCAGTCACCCAGACTGGAGTGCAGTGGCCACTCCCGGCCAACCACAGCCTCGACCTGCTGGGCTCTGGCGATCCTTCCACCTCAGCCTTCCAAGTAGCTGGAACTACAAGCGCACGCTACCACGCCCAGCTAATTTTTTGATTTATTGTAGAGATGAGGTCTCGTCAAGTTGCCCAGGTGGGTCTCGAACCTGTGGGTTCAGGCAATCCACTCACCTCAGCCTCCCAAGGCGTGGGATTACAGGCTGAGCCACCGAGCCCGGCTTTTTTCAGATTTATTAACTTAGACTTCTACAGTATAAGGACTCTATGAAGGTCTTTTTATTCTTTTTTTTTTGAGTCAGAGTCTCACTCTGTTACCCAGGCTGGAGTGCAGTGGCATGCTCATGGCCACCGCAGCCTCGACCAGCTGGGCTAAGGGCATCCTTCTGCCTCAGTTTTCCAAGTAGCTGGAATTACAGGTATGTTCCACAATGCCCAGCTAATTTTTTTGATTTTATTGTAGAGACAAGGTCTCACCATGTTGCCCAGGCTGGTGGGCTCTGGCAATACTCTTGTGCTGGGATTATAGGAATGAGCCACTGTGCCTGGCCCTTTTTCTTCTTAATCTATGCCAGTTACTATTCTAATTCACATTTCTTTGAAAAATACTGAGTTGAAGATGATTTTTGACTTTTTGAACACTGTACTTCTTTTATGAACTGCATTTTTCTTCATATCCTTTCTTAGTGATTTGTAGTGTTTCAGGCAAAATTTGAGATGAAAAGTTTAGTATTCTAAGACATTATAATCCCACTGGAGTTAGGCATCCAGAATTATTCCACCCTCTTTCATCCATATGTCTTTCCTTGGCAGTTCATTTCACTGATATACTTTTGCATGAACACAACCAGGCCTAGTACAAGGAAGGCAATGGAAATTCTGACTTGCATATTACCTCTGGCTTCTCTGCTACTTAAACTATTAGTAAGCATATCTTCTTCTTTTGTTTAAAGGACTTACCTACAGCTGTGTTAGTTCCACCAACATTTATATCATTTTCATCATCAAATTCAATCCTGACTCCTTTTCCATTGCCTGCTGAGACTCCACAACCTCCACTTCGACAGAGAGAAATTGGAACAACGCCATAGACATAAGCTAACATAATAGGAACACCAATACCTAAAGAGGAATTAAACTAGTCATTATAAACTAAAATAAACAAATCAGAGAAATGTAAGTATTAGAAGTCTTTTCAAGAGAAAGTGTACAAGAGAAAAGTGCTAGGGTTCTAAAGAGCTGGCTGGGGCACTTGCCAAAAGTGGATTTACCCAGCTGTTAAGGGACACAAGCAAATTCAAGGGTCTCAGCCTTGCAGGAAACATGCACAAGGAAAAAAAAAAAGATAAGGAGATGTAAACGTTTTTCTTTTAAAGTGTCAGTCATGAACAATTTGGAAGTCTCTAAGGCTAGACTCTTGAATCTATAATAATTTTCACCAATGAGAGACTTTCTGTGGGCTTAAATTGTCTTTAAATTAAAAAAACGAAGTAAACCTTTTATCTTCAACAATACAATACTTTATTTTAAATAATCCTTCCACAAAAGGTTTTTTTTTTTTTTTTTTGAGTCAGAGTCTCACTATGTCCAGGCTGGAGAACAGTGGCACACTCATGGCCACCCCGGTTTTGACCTGCTCGGCTCCAACAATCCTTCTGCCTCAGCCTTTCAAGGAGCCGGCACTACAGGTGCACACTACCATACCGGGCTCATTTTTAAAATTTATTGTAGAGATGAGGTCTCACCAAGCTGCCCAGGCTGGTCTTGAACCCATGGGTTCAGGCAATCCACTTGATTAGGACTCCCAAAGTACTGGGATTACAGGCTGAGCCACCAAGTCTGGCCTACAAAACTTTAACTACAAATCTTAGGTAATTAGTATTTCTTAGCATTTTCTTACCTACAGTCACTGCAGCTACTACTGGAGATACAATTACAGACAACGTTACACCACCTGCTATGGCCAAATTCCGTTTGTGCTTTGAAACATCCTTGCCTTCATATCGATTGTGAATCTTGAATTAAAAATTAAAAATAAAAATCAGGGTGGGGGATTAAGAGAACATATGTTACAGATTTAATTTAGATTAAAAAGATCTAAATTTGCTAGAAGTTTAAAGTGATTTCATAGCTGAGTATACTAATTCTAAGCAAACCTACTATTATCCTTCAACCATATTCTCACAAATAACTTGCTTACATAATGACAGTAACTTAATAGATTTTACTTTGTGTTTAGTTTCAAAACAGTCTTGAGTAAAAGTAGTCTTTATAATTTTATTCAAGAGTAGTATAATCATGTACTAAGCAAAGAAGAAGAAATTAAGAATATTATTATCAACACAGTTATGACTCACATGCTTCACTTATAGGATACTTCTAAGAAATTTACATTCTAAAGGTTGCTTTTTAAAAATTAAATTAACTAATTAATTAATTTTTGAGCCAGAGTCTCATTCTGTTGCACAGGCTAGATTGCAGTGGCATGATCACAGCCCCCTGCAGCCTTGACCTCCTGGGTTCATGCAATCCTTCTGCCTCAGCCTCCCAAGTAACTGGGACTATGGGCACATGCCACCATGCTCAACAAATTTATTTTTTTTTAAATAGGAATCTCACTTTGTCGCCCAGGCTAGAGTGCAGTGGCACGCTCACTGCCTCTGCAGCCTAAACCTACTGTGCCCGGGCAATCCTTCAACTTCAGCCTTCCAAGTAGCTGAAACCACAGGAACGCATTACCATGCCCAGATAATTTTTATTTATTTATTGTACAAACAAAGTCTCGCCAAGTTGCCCAGGCTGGTCTCGAACCCCTGGACTCAGGCAATCCTCTCACTTCTGCTTCCCAAAGTGTTGGGATTACAGGCATGAGCCACCATGCTTGGCCCGGCTAATTTTTAAATTTTTTTTTTGTTGAGATAAGGTCTCACTATGATGTCTACGCTGGTCTTGAACTCCTGAGCTCAAGTAATCCTCCTGCCTTGGTCTTTCAAAGTGCTGGCATTACAGGCATGAGCCACCATGCCCAGCCCTAAAGATTTACCATTACTTTATCTTTTAATTAATTAATTAGTTAGTTAGTTAATTTTTTTGAGTTGGAATCTCACTCAGTCACTCAGACTGGAGTGCAGTGGCCTCTCCCGGCCACTGCAGCCTCGACCTGCTGGGCTCCGGCGATCCTTCGACCTCAGCCTTCCAAGTAGTTGGAACTACAGGTGTGCGCTACCACGCCCAGCTAATTTTTTGATTTATTGTAGAGATGAGGTCTCGCCAAGTTGCCCAGGCGGGTCTCGAACCTGCAGGCTCCCAAAGCGTGGGACTACAGGCTGAGCCACAGGTACCCTTGTTGATGAGGTGTGTCCTCCCCTCCCCTGGCAGATTAAATAGGATTCTCTAAGGGTAAAAATTGGCTCCTAAGGAAGGTTTGCACAATCTTTTTTTAAGCTGACCTTAAAAAGGAGTTCTGATAAATATATATCAGTAAACAGTTATTATTTTTTTTCTCAGACCACTTTTTATGAAGACAAAGGTTAACAAATTACTCAAAATCCTGGGTTCTCATTTATAGCTCAAAGTAAGGGGCAGAATGAGAAAAAAAGACAATAAATAATGGCTGCCAGAGGACAGGAGCTGGATCCACTCAGCATCTTTGGACAGGAGTTAATATGTAGAATTTAATATCACCATAAAAGTAGTTGAGATATAAACTCTGAGAAATAGCTCAGTATATTTATTATCATTATTTGCAAGGGCTAATACAGCACAATTTCCCCTCTGTTTCAAGATAGATTCAAAACAGCTTCAAAAGTATGTGGGTAGTCTCTAAAGTAAAACATATGACTTATAAAAAACATCACAGATGAGGCTTAATAATAAAATTATTATTTGGTTATTTTGAAGGCTGTAAAGTTCAATGAGTTCCCAGGGAATGAGAGCATTCTCATTTCCTATACAGTCCATACGGGCAGAGATGGCAGGCCTTCCCAAGGCACCCTCATTATCCTTCAGCACTGCAGTCAATTCTTGCTTCTCCCACTCCCATCCTGGTAAACTTAGCACCGAAGCAGAGAAAAGCCAAAGCTACAAACTGATGGTGCAGACTTACAAAGGCAGAATGCCAAAAGAAAGGAGTCTTCCAGAAGATTTTTCAGCCCCAAGCACCAATGTTCAATTACAGTGACTGCATCATCCCACTAGGTCTGGTTCAAGTTAATTTTTCTGTTTACTATTTTTTGCCACATTTTCTATTTTTTATTGTAAACGAAGGCTCAGCTTTTGGGTACATTATTGACTTAGCTGGTTTTCCCGGCTGGTTGGGAATCCTAAACACCACAGAACATAGTTTCAATGGAAAACTAATTCATCAAGTTGCAATCCTCTGGGTACACATTTGAAAAAAGGAGGCTTGTAACTAACTGCATCTACAACTTGAACAATGAGGTAAATAATCTCTCCATTATAAATTATTTGTAAGTACATGCAGTACAACAGTCTCTCTTTTCCTTCTACTTCTACTTCTAAGTATCTGAAGAAGCAGCTGTTTTCAGCAAAATCTTGCTTTGGATATCTACATGAAAAATTATTATAATCAGTTACTATATTTGAGATTTTTTAAAAGTTAGGTTTACTCACCTAAAACTTTCTGAAATAAATATATGGCTTATAAATATCTGTTTTTCACCAGTCCCAAAACTACTTTTAAAAATAGTATTTTTATATATTTTCTATCATAAAATATATGTTGAATATAAAAAATTTGGCTGTTATATGGAAGAGGCTCAATCTTATGATGAGTTTAGTTCCAGAAGTCAGAAACAGAACCAAAGAAAAAATTAATTTCAATTAAAGAAAAAATTAGTTTTAATTCATTATTATTACTTTTTAACAGAGATGAGGTCTTGCTATGTTGCCTAGGCTGGTCTCAAACTCCTGGGTTCAAGAAATCCTCCCACCTTGGCCTTCCAAAGTACTGGAATTACAGGTATGAGCCACCATGCCCGGCCAATAAAACAGTTTAAAGGGAAACAGATTATAACTTAAACATAAGAAATTTCTTTCTTTCTTTTTTTTTTTTTTGAGTTGGAGTCTCACTCCGTCACCCAGACTGGAGTGCAGTGGCACGCTCTGGCCACCGCAGAGCCTCGACCTGCTAGGCTCTGGCGATCCTTCCACCTCAGCCTTCCAAGTAGCTGGAACTACAGGTGCATGCTACCACGCCTGGCTAATATCTGATTTATTGTAAGATGAGGTCTCGCCAAGTTGCCCGGGAGGTTCTTGAACCTGCGGGCTCAGGCAATCCACTCACATCGGCCTCCCAAAGTGCTGGGATTACAGGTTGAGCCACCGAGCCCGGCCAGAGGTTTCTAATAATTAACAGCCACTGGCTGGGCTTGGTGGCTCAGCTTGTAATCTGTGCTTTGGGAGGCCGAGGTGAGTGAATTGCCTGAGCCTGCTGGTTCGAGACTTGTCCGGGCAACTTGGCGAGACCTCACCTCTACAATAAAAAAAATAAAAAATTAGCCGGGCGTGGTAGCGCGCGCCTGTAGTTCCATTTACTTGGAAGGCTGAGGCAGAAGGATCGCCAGAGTCCAGCAGGTCGAGGCTGCGGTAGCCAGGAGCGTGCCACTGCACTCCAGTCTGGGTGACATAGTGAGACTCCAACTCAAAACAAAAAAAAAAAAAAAGAAAAAAAAAAAACACACAGCTGCTGACAACAGAATGGGATGCCTCATGAGTCAGTGGTTTCCCATCACTGAAGTTCCCAAATAGCTCATGAGATTTATCAGGGAACTTACATAAAAAATTCTTGCATCTGAGTTCAGAATTCAGCTCTGCTTCTTTCCATGTAACTGAACACAAACTACATAAACTTTCCTAAACCTCAATATTCTAACACATAAATCAAAAGCTAAAATACTCAGATGGCTGCAAAACTAAAATGAGTCAAAGTACATAAAACACCTACCACAGTATGAGCTTGACATAAGTTCTCTTTTTAACAATTGCTGTCCTTTGTTCTGCTTGGGTACAGGGGTGAGTTAGATAATTTCTAGTTCTCAATTCTGAGATTCTATTTAGACAGCAGCAGACTTCTTAGGACTTCACAAATTATCCCATTAACCCCTCAAAAAGGAATTACTTGCTTAGCTGATGAAATATAATTCACCAATCACAGGCCAGTGGTACTCCTTAAAAAACACTAGTGTTTGAACTCTCTCAAGATTGTTATAATTTGTCAAACAATGTATTTACTAATAGCAGTAATCTAAGGAGAAGGCACTTTGAATTGAAGTAGAAATAATTCAAGAACTGGCTAATTATTCTTTGCCTGAGTATATATGTAGTTTAGCTATGAATGTTCATTAAAAAGATCTCACAGACCTGACCTTACAAGAATATACTCATGAGAAAAGTGTCAGATGTATGTGTATCCTTCAATACTTTACACTCAAAGTTGATTTTATAATGCAAATGTATCAGTTTTTAGACTCAGATAATTTTAAGCAAGTCTGCTTTTTACGCATACATATAAGCTTGCCAAACACTGAAAATTTATTATTTTATGAAAAAAATCATTGTTTTACACTGAAGAAACTGAAAATACCTTTTATCTAAAAACAAATGAGCAAAAAACCAAAACAGTAAAAAAGTCATCAGTACTAAAGGGATACACCTTAAGATTTAGAATAAGATAGTGAACTAACAAGGAAGTATGCATTTTACCTTGCGGCCCACATACACAGGAATGCCAATAATCATTGCAGGAATAGCAATGCCCGCTATTAAAGCAATTCCTACAGGAGCACCAACCAGTGTTCCCAGCTGCCACAATATTTTCTTCTTTCGGCTCCAGGGTTTCTTTCCCCAAAAAGTACACCCTGATGGACTAATGGAAAAAATAATAATGTAAAATAACTACTGAAAAACATTACAATAATAAATTACTGCCATACATTAAAGCAATAACTATTTTTTTTTTTTTTTGAGTTGGAGTCTCACTCTGTCACCCAGACTGGAGTGCAGTGGCCGCTCCCGGTCACCACAGCCTCGACCTGCTGGGCTCCAGCGATCCTTCCGCCTCAGCCTTTCAAGTAGCTGGAACTACAGGCGTGCACTACCACGCCCGGCTAATTTTTGACTTATTGTAGAGATGAGGTCTCGCCAAGTTGCCCAGGTGGGTCTCGAACTCAGGCAATTCACTCACCTCAGCCTCCCAAAGGCGAGGGATTACAGGCTGAGCCACCGAGCCCAGCTAATAACTATTTTTTAAAACTTCCCATACTTAGCAGTTCCCCCCCCCCTTTTCTTTGGGTTCTGAGTTCAACAAATTAAGGAAATAACCACTATAAATTATTAACAAGACAATGATAACTGGCATTCAGCTTAAAAATGTATCCTTAGTCCTCCATTATCCTCAAAACCTTAAATTAGTTTTTGAACAGTAAATTAACACAAAACATGTATATTTTATTCCTGTTTTAGGTATAAAATTAGCTGATACCATAAACTCACTTTGTAAACTAAATGAAAATACTAATGTATGAGAAAATGAAATGGAAAAATTTATGACTTAGTACAGTTACACCAGGTATTAAATACAAACATTCTAGTTTAACCAAAAACAAAACAAAACAAAAACAGACAGAAAAAAGGAAATCTCCATTTCCTATTTTTGACTGGTTACTAATTCCAAATAATTTGGTTCCTTTTAAATTTATGTAACTAGGATAAAACCAATCCTTTAAGTATCTTACAAATCCCAAGTTTAAAAATGCTTAGATAATACTTTTTTAAACAAAGGTTCTTTTGTCTTACAATATAAAATTATATTTACATATAAATAGTTACTTCTATAAGCTTACCTTAGATAATGTAAATCTGAGATTTCTTTCATACACAACCAACAAAACTCACAACCACAAACAGCACATGTCATGTGATTGCAGCTCCCATCATTCATCTTTATTATATAAGCAGCGCATCGTGGACATGGCTTTATATCATCAGCTATTAGGGACAAAGAGAGATCTATTAAGTATTTAAAACTGGTCTAAAGACAATTTCTAGTAGAACACCAACTATAGTACTTCGGAATAAATCTTAAGATGTATATAGTACGTTAACTGATAGTTTTAGTCTGCTGTTTTTAGTATATAAAACTTTCAAAACAAAATGAAATAAAAGCAACCAATCAGTTATGCTCATGACTGTTTTTAATTTGTTAGTCCTTTTTATTCATTTATTCAAATGTTGTTGGTATATGTTCCTTGTTCAATATGGTTACAATGTACAATGATGCCAAGTTAAAATCAAACACTATATAACTTTAGGAATCACTGACACAGAGTAAGAGTTATCTCAAATTATATAATGATTTTGAACTTTGGCATCCTTTTATTTTATTTTACCCATTCTTTTCATTTTTGCTTTTTTGAGTCAGAGACCCACTCTGTCACCCAGGCTGGAGTGCAGTGGTACACTCACGGCTACCTCAGCCTCGACTTGCTGGGCTCAGGTAATCCTTCCACCTCAGCCTTCCAAGTAGCTGGAACCACAGGTGCACACTACCATGCCTGGCTCATTTTTTTGATTTACTGTAGAGATGAGGTCTTGTCAAGTTGCCCAGGCTGATCTTGAACCCCTGGGCTCAGGCAGTCCTTTCTTCTGCCTCCCAAAGTGCTGGGATTACAGGCATGAGTCACCGCGCCTGGCCTGGCATCCAAATAGTAACCTGTAATTACTATTAATATTAGCTATATTTTCTAACTACATTTAGACAATTTAGAAAAGATCTTTAGAGTGTCAACCACTGAATTTAAGTATTTGTTTCAATTTCTTTACATGATGAGTATTAAGCGATATTCTAGCCTCCTTTCTGCAAGTTTTATGGTCAAATTGTACCTGTGCTTTATCAGTGAATTCAGGTTTCCTTAGCGCTTTTCTTTTTCTTTTCTTTTTTTTTTGAGTTGGAGTCTCACTCTTGTCGCCCAGACTGGAGTGCAGTGGCATGCTCACGGCCACTGCTGGGCTTAGGTGATCCTTTCGCCTCAGCCTTCTAAGTGGCTAGAACTACAGATGCACACCATCATGCCCGGCTAGTTTTTCTGCGATTTACTATAGAGATGTCTCACCAAATTGCCCAGGCTGGTCTCAAACGCTCGGGCTCACAATTCTCTCACCTCAGATTCCCAAAGTGCTGGGATTACAGGCTGAGCCACTGTGTCCAGTCTCCTAGCGCTTTTTCTAGGGCCAAAGTTATTTTTAAATTTAAAAACTGGTCAATGCTCACAATTAGTATTTTGGTGATTCAAGTAATTTTGAGGCTTGTTTTGTTTGCTTTGTTTCCTTAAACAAATTAGAAAAAAAAAATTGCTGTGCAAATTACCTAACAATATATTTCTCTCCAAATATTCTCATAAGGCAAAAATCCTAAATGGAACTTTTTTGCTGTTTAGATGGTCAATTACTTCCCTAGTCCCCAAAAAATAAATTATGCCACAGGTATTAAAAAAAAAAGTTTCCTATTTCTATTTAAAGTGTTCGGAAAAACTTTTGTGTTTTTTGAATATTATATTTATGTTCACTGTCAAAATATAGGCCTTTGTTATGTTATGAAATAACAAGTTATAAAATACTATGATCTGAAATGTTAACAATGGTTATCTTTTAGTGTGGTAGTGATAAGGGAATGGGGTGAGAGCGGGGAGCTAATTAAATATTTTATTTTATTTACTTATTTTTTGAGTTGGAGTCTCACTCCGTCACCCAGATTGGAGTACAGTGGCATGCTCACGGCCACCCCAGCATTGACCTGTTGGGCTCCGACGATCCTTCCGCCTCACTCTTCCCAGTAGCCGGAACTACAGGCACGTGTTACCATGTCTGGCTAATTTTTGATTTATTGTAGAGACGAGGTCTCGCCAAGTTGCCCGGGCTGGTCTTGAACTCTTAGGTTCAGACAATCCACTCGCCTCGGCTTCCCAAAGTGCTGAGATCACAGGTTGAGCGACCAAGCCCAGCCTAATATTTTATTTTTTACAAAAATGAGAAAAATATAGTAACAAAAAATAGAAAATATGTGTTTCATTTAAAATTGAACTTCAAGTGCCTAAACCTTCTAGAAGCTATAGGAAAGACTCTCAGGTCCAGCACAGTGGCTCATGCCCACAATCCCAGCATTTTTGGGAGGCTGAGACAGAAGGATTGCTTGAGGCCAGGAGTTTAAAACCAGCCTGGACAACATAGGAAGACCCCATCTCTACAAAATTAGCCAAGTGTGGTGGTATGCACCTGTAGGCTGAGCTACATGGGAGGCTGAGCTACATGGGAGGCTGAGGCAAGAGGATCACTTGAGCCCAGAAGTTGGAGGTGGCAATGAACTGTGATCATGCCACTGCACTCTAGACCCTGTCTCCAAAAGAAAAAAGATAAAAGAAAGTCTCATGTGAATACAGTACTGTCACAGTTTAAAGACAAATATAAATATTACAATATAAATATTTTATGATTATGAGTACAAATGTTAATGTACCTTATATAATTAAGCACACATTTATCTTCAGAAATTGATTAGAAATAACCAACTAGCCAGAGTCAGTGGCTCAGCCTGTAATCCCAGCACTCTGGGAGGCAAGTGGATTGCCTGAGCCCACAGGTTCAAGACCAGCCCGAGCAACTTGGCAAGACCTCGACTCTACAATAAATGAAAAATTAGCCAGGCATGGTAGCACATGCCTGTAGTTCTGGCTTCTTGGAAAGCTGAGGTGGAAGGATCACCAGAGCCCAGCAGGTCGATGCTAGGGTGGCCTTGTGCGTGTGTGCTACTGCATTCCAGCCTGCAACAGAATGAGATTCCAACTCAACAAAAGAAATAACAAACCAGCCGGGCTCGGTGGCTCAGCCTGTAATCCCGCGCCTTTGGGAGGCTGAGGTGAGTGGATTGCCTGAGCCCGCGGGTTCGAGACCCGCCTGGGCAGGCGAGACCTCATCTCTACAATAAATCAAAAAATCAGCCGGGCATGGTAGCGCATGCCTGTAATTCTGGCTACTCAGAAGGCTGAGGCGGAAGGATCGCCGGAGCCCAGCAGGTCGAGGCTGCGGTGGCCGGGAGCGG